AGATGTCTTCTGGTTGTTAAAGGTGTATAAGTACTTGCTGTTGGACAACCTGTTGGTCCAGATGCTATCGCTTGACAAATTGTTTGGTTAACCATTGGCAAAGATTATTGCACTGATAGATTATTAATCAGCAAAAAAAGTGTGTCTGTCGGTAAATAATTTTGCTAGCTGGATTTACACAGGTTGATATAGTCGGTCAGTCGATAGTATGTTGCCGGTATGATCTTTGGTGACGCCAAATCTGCCCTTAACATTGTGTCTTGGTGTAGTGATCAATATGTCTGTTCTGTCTGAAATTGTGAAATAAAAAACAACATTGAAATCGTGAAATAAAAAACTACATGCCTATATGACTAAGTCATGATCAACTTCTGCCCCAACCATTTATCGGCTCCCCCTGTGCGGAAGTCCCGTCCACTTGCCCCTCTTGAACCGGTTTCCTTCTTCTCTAGTCCCCATCATTAGCCATTCAGCCATCATTGAACTTCCGACCTCTGGAAAAGGTGGACGAGCCAACAGCATGGAACTAGGGTGAGACTTGTCGACCACATGTCGTGTGGAGGCATCCGAAGACGAAGGCATTTAGAACTATTAGGGGGTTTAGGAGGACCGGAGGAATGAAGTCCTTGCATCACAACTACGACATCTCTTATCAAACTCCGTTACATCGCTAACTTGACTATGCTCAGACCTGATCAGGATCCAAAGTGAGAGTACCTGAAATATTCTTATCTTTTTGGTGTAACTTCATGTATGTGTTTCTTTGTAACACTTGGACTGTAACATTATTTTGTGTTACTACGGACATATATTTGTAACATATTTTATATGTTCTATTTATGTGTTACAACATAGTACACACTTTTGTAACATTTTGTTTGTAACATTAGTTTTTTGTTACTATAATTATTATCAGTAACATATTTTTTATAAAAAAAGTTTTGTGTTACAACTGAAGTCTATAATATACTATTTTGTGTTACTATACAATTTTATTGGAACATATGGATGAATATGTTACAAGAAAGTGCTACGATATCCTTGTTTTTGTAGCCGTGGATGAATGTAGTGCTTCGCAGAAAAACTGACGAAGAATTTGGGTGGATTATAAGTAGTGGTCACAGGCCCCAGCCCCTACGACCTCTTGGAAAATCTGTCTGCTTGAACACTGCAACGTGCGTGCGATGACTGATGACACAACACGAGAGTACAAGACATGAATATCGCTTCTCTACATATACGACATACACCGCGTAGTGCGGACACTATGCACGAACAGTACGAGCGAGTGACGGAGCGAGTGGCAGATGTTCTCGACGCACAGTTTCAGATGTAACAGCCTGTTCGTTTGGGGTTCAAATCAAAGGACTTGGAAGGATGGAACCAACAGAGAATTTACACGCCCTCTACTCAAATTCACCTTATCCAGTAATGCTGCTCACATCGTCTACTACGGCTTTTCCAGTAGTACGTTTTACACTCTGAGCGGATTGCTAGCCAAGGCACCAGTAGTCGGCTAGCGAACACATACAGGAACACTGCAATTGAACGAGCTGTACGCAGCAGTCTGCCCACTGCCACACTATGACACACCGATACAAACACCGTTGCGTTGCATCGGAGAAGCTAGCTTAGAGATGCAGTAATCGAGCTGTAGAGGAACAGCAAACATGTACCACTGTTGCAGCACATGACCCCGGCCTGGGCGTCACCGATGCGGCCAGGAACCGGCAGCTGGAAAGAGACGGATAGACGGCCAGACGCCCAGACAGATGCACGGCCAATCTCATCTCTCTGAACCCCCAAACGATCCCGACTCGGCGATGTGACCCAACCTGGGGGGGAATACTAGCCTTTACTTTTCACTGTTACTCGCCACGGTTTTACTGGGACGAGTCCGACTGGCATTGGCCGGTCGGCCGTGCCGTCGTGCCGGTGCCGGTGCCGGCCGGGAGGGGATGTACAAGAAGCTGTGGCTGCAAGCGTGCGTACGGCCCGGCCAAATGCTCAGTGACTACAGGCGCAGACAGATGCCCGTGGACGGCCGGAATGCTGACGTGCGAAGTCGCCTCGGATAGTAAAAGATGCCCGACAGACGACGACGACGACGACTACGAGTCTATCGCTGCCAGCCTGCCACCCCCGGCCCTACGACGTGCAAAGTCTATAGCGTGCATGGGCTAGTGCGCCCTACTCGATCGATCGACGTAACTACGTGACTGGTCAGGTGCAGTCACTCGCCGAAGCTGCGAAGCATTCCGCATCCAAGCGTTGTTTTTCACTGGGAGGAGCTGTTGCGTGGTTGAATGTGCAATGGCGGAGGGAGTGGGAGGTCGAAGAAGGCCACTGCGCAGACGGCAGACGGCAGACGTACAGGCCGCAGCCCGCAGGGCATGGCCGTGGCCGGCGAAGGGACAGGACGAGAGGACGGCACGCATCCAGCTCCAGCCAGGCAGCGCAAAGCCGGACGGCCGTCTGCATGCGCAAACGTGTGCCGGGCGCTTCCGCTTCGCGTCCCGTTCCGGGGGAGGCCCGCCCCTGGTCCTCTCTTCTTCGAGCAGGTCGATCGGTCAGCTGGCCAATGGAGTAGTAGGCATGCATGGCCGTTGATCGGCTGCCATGCAATGCATCCACGGCTCTGGTCACTAGTCAGAGTGAACCATGGTCGGCTCGAGAACTTGAGCTATGAGCAGCTGTTATGTTAGTTGATGAAACGGCAGATCACATGATGAGATCGGTGCTACGCACGCATTGCCGGCATCCTACGATTGCATGCCAAGTGTCTGCTTGGGCATCCCAGAATCTTTCCGATCATGCACGGGGCCCTTTTACGCTGTCCCCATCCCCATCCCCATTCATGCATGCCACATTTCTTTCTTTCTTTCTAGTACCAAATCCCAGATGGAGAAGAATAACCATATCCATCCGTATCATTTCGGTGCGGCCAGCCATAGCCATAATGCTGTCAGCTGAACATACTAGGGCACACGATCGAGGACCCACAAATCAAAACTTTTTTTTTCAAGAACCGGCAGGAGAGAATCGTCAAAACTTTTTTCTTCTTCTTACGACTGTTTAGCCAACAGGTATTCAACGAGGCCCCCATCCATCGCGATCTGCGTCAGATCTGTCAAGTAACATCCCACCCGAACAGGGCCCTGCATGACAACGAGAACACATGAGCGACGAGCTCGACTAGACCACCATTAGCATGGCGAGGAAAGTGACAGAGGACCTACTGCTCGCTCACCATGCCGTTACTCGCCGAGATGGTCATGGTATTCATTCATTGAAGTGCACCACATCAGACTATCACCACAGGAGTCATCAGACTATCATTGCAAATGGTAATATTCATTGAATTTAAGATCCAACAACACCACGTCAGGGCAAAAAATTAAAATCACAAATCCAATCCACCATAAGAAATTTTTTTTCTGAACGAACACGTACAGCAGTCCTGTTGTATCAGAGGCCGAATTCGAATCCGATGTCTCCTCCCTGATGGCCGTTCCACGTCGCCGGCATTGATCATCGGCGGGAACGCCTGGGAGAACACGAGGAACGAACGAACGGCAATGAACGAGCGCGGCTGGCACGGCGGCGTCTTGACAGCAACGGCTGGGGCCGACGACAGTGGACATAGTTGAAAATAGAGAGGAGAGAGGCCATTTGTGCGTGTCGTATAGTCGGCAAATGTAATATTCGTTGAAGTGCACCACGTCAGGGCAAAAAAATTAAACTCCCAACCACCGGATTTTTTTTCTTCTGAACGAACACTAGTCCTGTATCAGAGGCCGAATTAAATCCGTGTCTTCCGTTTCACGTCGCCGGCGTTGATCCTCGTCGAATCCAACAGCTGCAGAACAATTGCAAGCGGCCGGCTGCCCGGCCAAGCCTCACGACGACGACCGGGCCATTGGCTTGTCGCGGTCGGCTGCCACTCTCACGACCCTCCCGACTCGCGAGCGAGCGCCTTGGACCAAAAAGTTCACCTTTCTGAAATCTCAGATCCTGTCAACCGATAGGAAAAAAAAAACTAACCCCCTTGATGATGATTAGCTACCCTGTGTGGAATGTGTGCGATTGCGATCTAATCCCCTTGATGATTTACAGGTGAAATGTGAGCCCGTACAGGTGTATTACGAGTAGGGGCAGCGCGTCCCGTTCTTCTTTCACCGGAAAAAAAAAGAACCATCTGCGGCAGTCCACGTTCTACGGAGCGCACGCAAAGCTGGCCGTACAAGCGATTTAGGTGGCAGCGTTCTGCTCGTTCGGTTGAGATGAAATTTTGCACCGTTTATGTTGAAAACACTGTTCATACCAAAAAATTGATAAAAAGCACGCCGTCGCCGAACTTGCCCAGCCAAACACTCCAACACGTTTTTTTTTTCCGGAGGGAGGGAGTACCGGAGCACACGTCCCAGCTCCCAAGCCATCATCACACGAGTACGCCTGCTGCGTGCTTTGCGTGCTTGCCGATATTAAAGCCGCCCACCGTGCGTGCCGGTCTGCCGGAGCCGCACACACACCACACTCCTGCTGGCTGCTGCTGCTGCTAGAGTGCTAGTATATCAGTTGCCTCGGGGGAGCTGGGTACGTGCGAGGCCGATGTGATGCGGCTACAGTGCGTGCGGGGGACACCGGCCAGGCAAGCAGCAGGCTGCCGCGCGTCCGCTCATCATCGTCATCATCATCTATCCCGGTATCCCCTCCCCTCGTCCCGTGTCTATTCGCCCCCGGCCCCCGGACGGCCGCTTCCGGGTTCCGGCTTCGCATTTGGCTGTTGGCTCCTTGCTAGCTACTTCCTTCTCCAACCACTCGAGCGAGCCCTGATCCGTGCTAGCTAGAGCGGGCGAGTCAGCGAGCTACCTCCGATCGAGGTCTAGCACTAGCAGCTAGCTGGCCGTCTTCTTCCGCCGGCGGCAGAGGTTGCTGGCTAAGCTAAAGCAAGAGAGGTACGGCACGGTACGGTGGGTGGTGGACTGGTGGTTCAGGTGATGCCGCCGCCGTTGCTCATGGTGGGGAGGCAGCCGAGGTGGTGCAGGGGGAAATCCGGCGGATCCGCGCGGACGCTCGGCGTCGCAGTGGTGGTGGTTGCCCTCGTCGTCTCCCTCTGCTTCATCGGCAGCCGTCTCACGGGGACGACACAGCTGGGTGGCGGCGCCCAGCTCGCTTCAGGTAATAAGCTCGACTAGCTGCTTCGTTCAATCTCCTGCTGCATAAAAACAGCTCAGCTGTGCTCATCTTTCGTTTTTTTTTTGAGGAATCATTTGCTCATCTTTCGTACCCACCAAAAAAAAAAATCATTGCATGTTCTCAGAAAAATGCTCATCCTTGCTGTGCGTTCGTTGGTGGAAGTGTATATAGAGATTCTTGTTGCGTTTTTCCTCTTTTCTCTCTGCCCAGAACGACTGCTTGTACTGTTAGTGCACATGCAGTTTGCTGATAACTGGAGAAGTGGAGAGAAGGCGCATGATCTGCACTTCTGCAGCAGCACAGTTTCCCTTTTCTAGAGCAACATTGGTTGTACTGCCTGGTGATCATCACTCATTTCAGTTCCTTCTCCGTGAACAGATTCCGGGAGGACCGTGGCAGCGGCAGCAGGAGCCCATCCCGGCGATCAGGTGGTGGCGACTGATGAGGTGCGTTAGTTCATTCCTCGTCTCGTTTCATTCATTAACGAAAACACAACACGGGACATTAAAAAACCACAACACGGGTACTCTATCAGTCGTATTTTTTCTTCGAAGGAATAGCGTTTTCAAATTAGCGAACAGTATTTTTAGCGAAGGATATGGATGGCCGCTTCATGTTTGGCCTCTGGTTGTTAGCAAGAGACCGGCTTAGAGTTAAGTATGTAAAGCATGTAGTAGGTGACATGTCTAAATCGCACGTACGCTACGGTACGGTACCAAGCAGCTGCGCATCTGTGAGCCGGCCGCAGTCACGAATCGATCTCCACCGTGCAGGGGTGGTGAATCGTGGTCGCGCCTCGTAAAAGGGCCTCCGCCGCCCGACGGCGCGGCGAGCCCGCCGGTCTCGATCACCATTGCGCGCAGCAGCTGCTGTCGCTCCTGCCAGCTTCACGACGGCCTACGTCCGGCGACGTCCCCGTCCCGTCCCGACAGGCCTTCCACCGTTACACGCCGGCAGGGCCCGGTGGCCCAGGCCCACCCTGAGCGACCATACCATGCACATATTGACATTTATTATTGCGGCATGATGTCACAACCAGCTGAAATGTGTGGGCGCGTGCAGCGGTTCGCTTGATTGACGGCCGAGCACGCGAAAAGAGAAGGAGCCCGCGCGGCGATATCTGGTCGGCAGGTAGTTAACGATCGTAGATTATCGTAGATTATTTATTATTAGCGAGTTTGGTTTGGTACGAGAGAAAAATACTATTTTAGTTTATAATCCACGATTATATACCAGCAAACGAACCGGCCGTAAATACGGAAAGAGTTGGGAATTATTTTATCTAAAAAAGGAAGCTGCTGCGGTCGGAATATCGTTCGCCGAATTCGAATGCAATGAGCGTTCATGAATTAGCTGCGTCGAATCAAAACACCATGACAGGCTAGGAAAGGGCTGCTTTCCTCGATCGATTGATGAGCTTGTAATAACAAGATGGAGTATTTGTGTTTCTGTTCGCGTGTGATTGCAGATGCAGGAGGAGCTGGTTTACATCGTCGGACGACGACGCCTGCTGTCGGGCGGCCTGGGGTCGCATCCGCCACGGTGCACCACCAAATGCGGCAGCTGCAACCCGTGCTACCCGGTGCACGTGTCCGTGCCGCCGGGGGTGCTGGTCACCACCGAGTACTACCCGGAGGCGTGGCGGTGCAAGTGCCGGGACCAGCTCTACATGCCGTGACCGTGAGGCGTGAGCGACTACTTGCCACAAGCCGTTCGATCGGCGCGTAAACATCCGAAACGCGCAGGCGCAGCAGACGACCAAAGAAAGGCGGCCTGCCCAATGGTCGCGAGTCGCGACGCCGGTGCCCGTCCGTTCGCGTGCGTGCGTGGCACCGGAGCGTGTGACACTGTGCCTGGACCGGCGCGGCGGTGCGCGCGAGGCCGCGCGTGGTGTGGCCTACCCTCGGCAGAGAGGGGACGGACGGCCTGCGCGTGTCTGCGAGCCGCGCGCTGCCGTGTGCCGTGCCCGTGTGTAGCGCTGAGAATAGGGCAGTACGCCGCGGCCCTACCAGGAGGCGCGCACGGCATGACGGCAGGCAGGGACGCAGGGCGCCGTGGTAAGAAGGCTGCGGCTGCTTTGCCCGGCGTACTGTTCATATTGTTCATATATGATTTGGTGTAGGCCTTTCTTGCCTACGCAATGCGATTTTTTCTTATTTTTCTCTTCGTGTCTTCTAGAATCGACCCACTTTTGCGTGTTGTGTTTTTGAGCTGCTACATGTATATGCTGTTGCGTTCGTACATTTTGCATTAGAAGTTTCAATTGAATCAAATTTCATTAATTTTGATTAAGTTTTAAAAATATTATTGATATTTATGACTCCAAAAAAATAAACAAGAAAAAACACATTTCGTTATTATTTGTTAGTATTTTTTATAGATTTGGTTAATTTTAAAACTGTTTGATTCTTGGAAAATAAGAATTAGTTCGTCCTGTTCGCTTAAGCTACTTTTTAGCCATGAAACAATGTTTTCCTCTCACAATATTTTAGCATAAGCATCAACGTAAGTCAAATTTCAGCATAAACGTATATTCTTGGGGATGGGGGACGGATGGAGTAATCCTAGTACCGTACTCCCTCTATCCACAAAAGAATGGAATTATAGGATTTGTGCCGGTCAAACTAGCTCAACTTTGATTAAGTTTATAGTAAATAGTATTATCATTTATGTCACCAAATACATTAATAATAAAAATATATTCTATAACAAATCTAATGATACTTATTTTATACCATAAATGTTATTATTTTTACATAATTTTAGTCAAACTTAAACGGTTTTGCTTTCTAAAAAAAAAGCAAGAATTGCATTCTCTCCCGGCAGTGGCTGCACGGCGACACGAGCCGCAGGCGTGCATGCATGGCAAATCTGAGAAACGCAGGGCAGCCATTTGGAGCGTTTGCTGGTGGACTTTATGTTTAGCACTGGTAGACAGCGCATAGGAGTGCACAGCATGGCGCTGCGGCCACAGGCGGCAAAGCCGGAATGGCACACACACAACCTGCTGGTGTACAATGCGTGTGGCAGATTTGAGGCCCGCCCGGTGTCAGATTGGCCCTGGCCAGCCCCGCGAGTCCGCGACCGCAGGCGGCAGCCTGCAGGGCGTGTGAGGTGGTAATTTTTGGCAAAATCACGGACGGTCGCAGATGACCTGCTCGTCGGTCGTACTCCATGCACGAGTCCCCCAGTGGCTGCTGAGCCGTCCTCAGTGGCTCATTAGCTCCATGGATCGACGGTGCCACTGTTTTCTATATATGGGTCTATGTATAGTTTGATATACTACTAAGGGTCTGTTTAATGAAGGTTCTCAAACAGCTTTACTAGCAAATTCACTACTTCCCCAACAAAACACTTAAAATTGGAACAGCTTTATCAGATAAGCTCCTTAAATCAGGAGCTGCAGGCGAGTGGTGGAGCACCAAAAAATATAGCTTTACCAGGCTCCCTTTGGCTGTCGTGGGTCTAGTGCACGGCCATGGTCCCATTAATTTGCCCCGACAGTATGTGTATTTGTTTAAACTCTTCTACTTAATATAATGATATGCAATATGTAAATCTTTTGTGTATCTGAGAAAAAAAGTTATCTTGGCAGCATGGGGAGGGACGGAGGCGGCTCTTTGCAGAGAGACTGGCGTGAGGAGGGGTGGAGACAACCAAAAGGATCTAGAATTCTAGATGGCTAGAGGAAAGTTGAATGGTTTATAAAATTTTTTCTACAAATACACAAATACTAGAGTAAAGTAGTTAGTAAAATAAGCAAACCTAATAGACACTAATTTTCCTAGCTGTATATCATCCAATGCAAACCCTACACAATGTTTTTTTTAGGAAAACAGGAGGGGTTGCCCCCTACTGATCTTTATTATAAACAACAAACAAAGTTTTCCAAGTACAACCTTTAGGAGACAAAAAAAGAAGCAAAAAAAATAAGCAAGATTACACAAAGTTGTATAGCCATAGTTGTAACTGTAGTTGAAGATCCTTCTTAGCTCTGAGTTTAACTCGAGCAAGTTCATGTTTGAAGACCACTTTGCAAGATTGCAGAGAATGCTACAGGTTTCTAAAAATGGCATCATTCCTAGCTGACCAAATAGCCCAGAACAAGGCAAAAATGATTTCCCCGAAGAAAGGTTTCTGGATTTGAGCTTTGAACAGATTGATAGTATCAAAAATACCCCCTTGGATTAAATGTGCCAACCCTAACAAATTTCAACAGCACATAGTAAAAGGGCAGTCTAAAAATAGATGATGTAAGGACTCCTCTATATTCATATGACAGAGGAAACAATTGTAAGATTGCAATTCCATATTTTTCCTTCTCAAAATCTCCCTTGTGCTTAGCCTATCTTTCAAGACTAGCCAAAAGAACACTTTCTTTTTTGGTAAACAATTTGATTTCCACAGCAAGTTATATACTGATGGCACTGAAATAGAGCCCAACAACTTATAGTAAGCTTTCTTTGAGGTAAAGTTGGGAAAGCCCCAAATATAACCCCATGTATCATTTCCTTGGGTTAGCTGAACATTGCCAAGTTAAGAGAACATGCCCTGATATTGTTCATAAGCTTCAAGTGATAGAGGGACATGGAAGAAGGTTGATTTGTCTTCTTCAGTTAGGAATTGTTGTATCAGAATGTATTCATCGTGAGCATAAGAAAATAAATGTGGCCACTGTTCATTCAGAGGAGCACCATGCCAGGCATCTGACCAAAAGAGAATAGTAGAACCATCACCAACTGTGACTGAAAGACAATGTCTTGTAAGAGTCAAGTAATTTCAAAATGTCTCTCCACCAAAATGACCCCCTCCTATTATATAAGGCAAAGCTACCAGAATTGTAATGAGAATGCCAGACAAGCTGAACCCATGGTATATCAGACTTGTTAAAAAACTTATGAAGGTGCTTGAGCAGCAAACTTTCATTCTGAATTTGAAGGTTATGAACTACAAGGCCACCATTTTCCTTTGAATTGCAAACAAGTTTCCAAGCTACTTTAGGAGGATTTTTAGAATTTACATCAAAACCTGTCCATAAGCAATGCTTCCTATACTTATGAATTTGCTTGATGACATTTTTTAGCAGCAGATAGGTGCACATAGTATATGTAGGTAGGGCACTAAGACAGCATTAATCATTTGTAATCTACCTGCTTCACTCAAGAAAGATGAAATGGTGACTAACCTTCTTTCACATTTAGATACTAGAGGCAAAAAAATCAGCCACAATTGGCTTAGAGGTAAACCAAGATACGTGAAAGGTAGTGATCCAATGGAGCAGCCAAAAGTACTTGCAAGAATGTTCATCTTTTCCTCACTTACATTAAGAGGAACCATCATTGATTTACTATAATTAACCTTAAACCCAGTGGACTCAGCAAAGGAATTCTACTACCAGTTCACCACACAAGGCTATCAAGTAACAAGCTACTCGTACCTAGCTTAACAAGAAGAGCAACTAAACTAGCTACTCAACTAACTTAAGCTACCACTAAGCTAGAGAGCCACAACTACTACCAACTACAACACACAAGCAATATACCAATGTAAGAGCACAAGTGTAATATATAACATACTCATGCATATAACATAATACCAAGCCTGATTGTTACTAGTCTGGTTGTTGGATTATTAAGTACTTGGCTCATTAAGTTCGCGAGCTGGTTCATTAACTTAACGAGCTAAAATGCTAGTTCAGGTCGTTAAAAAAAGTAAACGAGCTGAGTCGAGTTGAGCTAAACTAGAAGCGAGCCAAGCGAGTTAGTGAGCCGTGAGTTTTTTGTCCAGCCCTAAGCACAACTGTGAGTAGCAAACCAAGTCGGGCAAGAGGAAGACACAAAATTTATTTTCATGGTTCAGTTGCTTGCTATCAACCTTCGTCCACATTGGCGAGTCTCAATGATTCACGCGCTAACAAGACTCTCAAGCTTGACCCACAATCGGATGCCGCAAAAATTCAAACATGACGAGCACTCCAACTAGCAACGAGTATTCCACTAGAGTAGCCCTTTGCAATCTCCGTGAGGTGGGGTCTACCTCACTCGTGTCTAACATGGCACCATGTAAGATGACTGATATGGCGCCACATCATCCAAAATTGCTTCCAAAATAGTTCTGAGAGGTAAATCGGATAGTTTCAAGATTTGGAAGAATCTAAAAATCGGTTTTGTAACTGAAGGAGGTAAATCGAACTCATGTAATAATTAAGAGAGGTCAGATGTACTTTTTCCAATTAAAAATGATTTTTTCCTTACTGGCAGAAGGTACAGGTTTGGGCCAACTAGATCGCAGTGTCCGGGCTGCATCATGTTGTAGAGCCGAGGCTAGTGTGGCCTTGTAAATATGGTCGGTCTGTATAGCATGTTTTCCTCTTTGTGTAAGGGCATATATGCATATATGCCCAGCTCATTTACATATTAGGGTTGTTGCCCCTAGAATAGATCGTGCTCCATTCCTCCTAACAACACGCACCAATTTGTGGTGTTTCTTTTATTTGCGCATCCATTCACGGTTTATGTGTATAAGACATGAAACCATGGTTGGTTTCTGACCAAAACAAAATGAGGGAACAAACATTGTTCTTTACAAGCCTTTTAGTGGTAAAGTTTTCAAAAAATAATGAATAAGCAAGCAAAGAACATCCACTACTACACAAATTCTTTTACACAGCGTTTCACAATTGGGCTTCGAGGCGGTTGGCCTGGTTGCCCGCCTCGGTTATTCGAGGCAGGGTAGCCAGGCCAGCAACCATCTCGGTTAAGCGAAGCCGCCTTGGTTAATAAGTATTTCTGCTTTATCTGTGTTTTTGTTAGCGAAATTCAAATTCAAATTCTAATTTAAAAAGTTTTTTTTTTAAAAAATCTAAAAATAATTAACCGAAGCGGGCAATTAATAACAACCGCCTCCGTTAAAGGGTTAACGGAGGCGGACGCCATTAGCCAACTGCCTCGGTTAAAGTCTTAATCGAGGCGGGCACATTAGGACAACCGCCTCGGTTAATATGTCGCTTATAATGCCCGCCTCGGTTAATCTATTAACCGAGGCGGTTGGCCAACCACCTCGGTTAAGGCCACGATTAACCGTGACCTTTGCACCGAGGCGGTTGACTTGCCTGTCTCGGTTAAGCTAAAATGTCCACCACGGTTAAGAATCCTGTAGTAGTGATCTGCAATTTTATACGATTATGTATGACATTCTTATATATGACTAAATATGTAATACTAACAAGCGTATTTTCTCTAAAGTAACGCTTGATTACGATTCTTATTCTTTGACTTTGTAATCCTTAACCTTTTTGATTTCCACAGATCACTTTTCTTCCGAAGGAAACGTTCTTTCTTCTCCAGAATTTCCAGAGGCTGCACATATGAACAGTATCAAAAACACCAATATGAAGGGTAAATCTAACGCAACAAGTTAATATCTTAGAACCACATACAAAATTTTCTAATTAGTGTGAAATCGTGTATGATGTAGATTGAAGGACATTATCACAAAACAGATAAATCCACACTGTCACTATCAAATACTACACTGTATTGTGTACTTAAAATTGACAAGTGCTGAAGAAAACAGGGAAGGTGCCAATTTGGTTTAACAGGTTCAGCTGACCCCATTGAACTTTTAGTAAATTGCATAGAATAGAAGATATTGTCGAGGTACCAATGACCCCCATCCACTTATGTTGCTAACCCCAATCCCCTTGATTCCCAGCTCCCTCCCTGGAAATATTAAGCAGGATTGAAATTACAGATGGACATCTTGAATTTAGTTGATTATATTCTTCTACACAAAATCCTACCTAAATGTCAACATCTAGGATGGACTGACAGATTTTGACCTGAAGGACTTCTTCCTCACCTTTTTTTTTCAAATTTGAGGAATTTCTAATCTTCTGTAGTTTTCTTTCAGTCTTCAGATTCAGAAAAATGCATTGAATATAGAAAACCTACACGTTTAGGTGACAACATTCAAGTGAAGATGGAGGTTTGTTTCATGACATTGGTATCTTCAACGTAATATAGGGTTCAGTTTCCAATCCTAAAACTTTTTTCTGGATGAAGAACATTTCCGTGAATTTCAATGCCACTAACTAGTCCAATATTGTAAACAAAAGAAGTACTCTTACAGCTGATATATTACTATTGATGAAGGAACAGAAGCGCAGCAAGAGTCAAGATCAAGACATAGGTAAGACAAACAAAGAATTAGGCATGTAGCTGATCCAATTTTGGGTATGGCAGAGGACGGGGCTTCCTTCATCTTGCTCTTGGTCTTTAGCTCGTCCTTGCTGATTCTCACTCTCACCAAGTTGCAGACAATGTCCTATGACTTGTCTGATCATGAAAAACAAGAGAACCAACTCATGCCGGCCGTTTGAAAAAAAAAATCCCGTTATGCCACCATATCCTAAGATATATGCTCCATGTTTGACTTGCCTACTTATGAGAACTTTTTGTTCAAGGTGTTAGTTTTGAAAATATCCCAATCCGGCGGTTCACGAGGTAGCATAGAAACACATCAATTGTTTCCAAAGCGATTGCTAAACTAGTAGCTGGTTAAATAACACGAGAATACAATCACCAGTACCCCAGTGGCATGATGCGACAGTACATAAGACGATAATTGAATAACACTCAATCAGCAGAAACAAACCACTAGCAAATTATTAAGGTATGTCAATAACGCCAGGATGATGACTACATCTACATCACAGTGCTCCAACTCAGGGTAGCTGGATCGGATCTCCGATCCTCTCACACACACAGAGAGACGCAGACACATATTTTTCGCTTGCTTGGTTCCCTAGTTCTTCACCGCCGTGGCATCCTACTCGCTGTCAGGGACCTCACTTTCGTCCTCCGCATAGCCCTCGGCGTTGTACTGACGGATGAGGGCCTGCTCATAGTCACGGAGCTTGGCATCGACAAAAGTTGTGAGCGCATAGAACCGACGGAATTCACGGGAACGCTTTGCCAGCTGAAACGGGAGTGAGGTCTTCGACGCTTCTGAACGGCCTAGCCACCATGAGATCGATGAGCGCCTTGGGCAACCTCTGATTGACCACCCTCTTCCTCTTCTTCACGGGCCTGGTCGCCTCCGCCTCCTCCTCCGCCGCCGCCTTGGCCTTCATCTCCCGCCAGTGATCCATCCAGATATCACTGCCCCCCGGGGCACGGTTGAAACGCAAGAGACGAACAGCAACCAACGCCTCCTTCGCCGTCAGGGTCCCGTACCCCTCCGACGTGCACGCCTGCTTCTTCGTCTTCACCATCCCGTACCCCTCCGACGCGCTCAGGGCCTGCTTTTTTTTGGAGCTTATATTATAGAGAGGCGTAAGTTATTAGTTTTTATTTGTATATATACTTTTTCCTTTTTCAAAAACATTTGGCGGCTAAAACGCAAAACTAGGAGGTGTTTTGATCCTTGGCTAAAGTTTAGCCTTTATCACATCGGATATTCGAATGCTAACTAAGAGGATTAAACATGAGCTAATTATAAAACTAATTGCAGAAGCCATGGCTCATTCACGAAACGAATTTATTAAGTCTAATTAATCTATCATTAGCACATGTCAAATCATGAACTAATTAGGCTTAATAGATTCATATCTTGAATTAACCCTCATTTATGTAATTAATTTTATAATTAATCTATGTTTAATATTTCTAATTAGCATCCAAACATCTTACGTGACGGGGCTAAACTTTAGCCCCACAGTATCCAAACGGGGCCTACCAATATACCCCCATCTAAATTAACATTGGCAATAAAAATATCAATTGACGACATAGTTATTAGCACCGGATCGGACCGATGATTAGACAGTTAAAAACCAGAATGAGAGACTACACCGATCTAGTTCACTTCAATGACTATAGGGCCAAGTTTTAGGGAACCTGTCAATTCCATTTGAATCGAGCTGTTTGAAAGACTCTATTTCGTTTTGGTAACTAAATAACAACAACATTAATGGGCTAACACTTTCTATGTGAGATGATTAAGCTAGGTTAGTCCACGCCATGGTCGAAGATGGCATGCACATATGGTGATTGGTGAAAAGCTCAACAAGTGATGAAGATGGAGTTGGAATGCAAAGATGGAGAAGGATGAAAGCAAAGCCCAAGGACAAAAGGTATAGGCATAGATTTTGCTTTCGCCAGACAAAGATGCGTAGAGAAGTGAATGGTCAGGATTAGACTTTGTTTGGCACAGCTTAGCTTCACCGGTTAAGCTGTTTATTTTGTGTGTTTTAGCTTCACGATAAACAACTTTCTTGATGAAGCTGGGTTGTTTTTCTACATCCCGTTTAGCACAACAGCTTCACTTATATTGGTGCACCAAATGAAAAAATAAGCCTAATGTCCTTAACTTTTCTTTCCCTTTTGTATTCTTTCGTATCTTATTCCTCGCTCCTGTGCCCCCGACGACGTCATCCTCGACACCGCACCCTGACCTACGTATCCTCGGCCCTTGCGCGTCCGACGGCAGCGGGCGAACCCTGCGCCCCGGCCGCGCACCCCCGACGATGGAGGCCCAGCCTGCAACCCCGGCAATGGCGCCCCGGTCCCGCTCCCCTAACGGCTCCGCTCCCCGCGGCTGTGCCCGGGCTTGGCTGCGTGCTTGGCGGCAACGCCGTCCGCACCACCCCGCGTCTCCCCCGGCAGCCGCGCCCCTGCCCAGGGGGACCGCACCCTCGGTGGCCATGCAACGGCGAGATGTGCTCCGGCCACGAGGTCTGCTGCTGCTCCTGTGCTGCTTCCATAGAGAGAGGTACATGCAGTCTTTTAAGTCCACTAGAGCCCACCTATGTTAGATGAGGCTTGAATAAGCTATTTTTCAGTTTCACTCTCTCTATTTTTTTTGTGAGAGAGTGTTCGAAAGCCCTTGAAAATATTGGACTGAAAGACCATTGCTGCTGTAGCAGCACCTGGAATTTTTAGTTTTGACAACACCAGAAATTCCTTTAGGTTTGCCCGCACAGCCGCACTACTGCACTATGTCAGCACTCCTTTCCTTTTTGAAAGGATCAAGCACTCCTCTTGGTTGCGTGAAGAAAAAAAAATGCATGGGATGACGCGAGGGAACCAACCTAAGAGCATGGTTAATAACCCAGCCAGCAGCGGGCTGTATGCTACTGCCATGTCACCTATAGCCATCTCAAGAAAACACTCGTATAATATATGATAGGGCGTTTAGCATGAAAAGATTTAAGTGAGGTTTAGCATGTTTTAAAAGATTTTTTTAAATCAATCAATAGTACTTTCAGCCATAGTGAACATGACATTAACTATTTGATACTTTATAGGTGCATATCATCTGCTGTGGCTACATCCTTGTGGCCATTTCATCAAACATGTGAACAGCATACATATACCACATGAGCATACCAAAACACCATAATAGTAGCACAACGAAATATTTATATCACCCTAAGAAAGCTTTTCAAATCTGGCATTTGGGAAGCAAATAATCTTGTGGCTATTTGCCCATCCATCAGGCATCAGGTATGGAGCTGACAGGAAGCCTCCAAAGAAAATAGGAAAGAAAGAGGAGCAGCTAGAACCTGGAGCAGCCGGTGGGCGGCAGCCGAGCGAGCCTCGGCAGCGCGTCATCCACTCATCCTGCTCCCGGCTTCATGTACTCTTGCTCCGCAGCCACACGCCGCCGTAGAAGAACGCCGAGTCACGTCCCCGTCCTACAGTCAGTGCTAGTCTGCTTTCTTGCGGCCGCAAGAGCGCCGGCGGCGGGAGCGCGCGCGGTCGAGCGAGACGAGGGGCTTCGCACGGGATCGTTCGGTAGGGAATGAAGCGCCTTCTTTTCGCCCGCAGCTGGCTGGATGCGGGCTGTGTCGTCAGATTCAACCCGGCGAAGAGTAGAGTAGAGCGCCGGCCCATTTTCTCTCTCCTCTTCTCTCTGTGCCAGATCATGTCTTTTTCCTACGTGGCCTCAATTCAGCCGGCTGACTCAGCCTTATAATCCTTGCTCTAAGGCTATTTCCAACAACAACACCCAAAATATAAAACCAACGGAGCCAGCGGTGGGACTGGGGCTATAGAGCCCCCTGCCAATCCTGGGCACGTGGAGCTAGAGGGCTATATCCTTTAAAATTTTATGCATATATGTATTAGGTAGGAGGGCTAAGGTTAAGAGAAGATAAAAAAGCCTCTATTTTTTTGTTCAGCCCCTCCTAAATTTTTTTCTGGCTTCGTCCCTGCCCATTCGTCATTTGGGTAGCGCTACAGGCAAAAGTTTCAATACATATTCGACATCTTCTCCAACAACAAGACCCAAAAAAAATCGTTTCTGTAAATGAGTTTTTAGGAGAGAGGATGCCCATATTTGGGTTGTGCCTCTTAGGTAATCCAAAATATATCTTCGTATAGATACTCTGTTGGAGACTGATTTGAGATATTTCGCTATCTATCTTGGGTTTAGGTGTCTATATAGGTTACTCGTTGGAGACGGTGTAAGGAGTTCAGCACGTGAAACAATGGCGCCGTTTGTTTCCGCGATGCTTAATCGTGCGCCGCGATAGTGAACGGGGCTCCAAAGCTGTGTTTTAGGAATCATACACCGTAGTTTATTTTTCACGTTCCATGCCGCGGGCGACTGCCAGACACGTGTTTGTCACGGTGCGTTCGTCGGATTATTCTGCTTTTTGGGATTATTCTGCTTTTTTCACTCAATTGCTGACGCCAACGCCGTCCCAAACACAGTCAATATAAGACATGGCTCTTGTTTATGCGCCCGTACTTCCAAAAAGGTGTTAAATGAGCTACGGATGGTGCAACAAAATTGTTCCTTGGAAGATAACTTGAGATCAATTGCCTTTTAATAAAAAAAAACTTTATATTTAAAAGGAATAAGAGCAGTGGCCTTTTTATTTTATATATATTTCAAAGCTGGACGCCATCATTGGGTTGGGTTGGGCCGGTTTAGCCCGAGAACTGATAAGAATCTCTCACGCCACGCAACGCATGGCGCGGAGCACCGATCTCCACTTCTCCAGTCCTCCACTCGGGGATCCCCACAAAAATCCCAACAAATCGGAGGGGCTGCAGCGAAAAAGATCACCCGCGCCGTCTCCAGATCGCCGCGCCCCCTGGCCTGCGGCCCTGCCGCCGCTCCGTGTGGACTGCAGCCGGCGACGGGTACGAGACGGACACACCAAGGAAGCCCGGCGTCCCCCCTTGCCGCCGCGGTGAAATGTGGGAGGTCCAAGAGTGCCATCGATTGCCAGGGCCAAGCTGAATCGGCCTCTTCTTCTCCCTCTTCCATTCAGCCGCGACTCCTCATCAGCCAGCAGGTGCGTTTTTCCTTGGCCTGCGATGCTCTGCCCCCTCCCCCCAACCCCACCCCAAGATTGGACCTGACGCGGATTAGGGATTTTTTTTTTCGAGGAAAATGTTGGTTTAATCTCCGCCGGAGGCAAAGCGTTTTTGAATCGTTGGACCTGAGGATCAGTTAATTTTCGCGCTACTTGTAGGATTTAGCAGCCTCTCTTGCTCCGAAATTGGTCATGTACTCATGTTATATACGGTGTAGTACTCATTGCTAATTGCTCAGCGTTATTTAAAGAAATGGGGGAAAAACTATATACTCTGGTGTTTTGCGTGCAATACTACCTTTGGCAGCTTGTTCTGTACTGTATCTTTTGTGCACTACATTTGCCTTTTCATGAGCTATGAGCCTATGAAGGTGTGATCTGACGTGTTGATTTTGCAGATACCATTTTGCTCACAGCTGAAGCTGGTTCACCTAGGAATGCAGAAACATGTTGTATTGCAAGCAGCAGTCATCTAAGTTCAACAAGATCATTTCCTTTCATCTGAATCAGTTCTGCTGAGTCTTCATGAGATCGTGGGGCTCAAGTCATATTTGACTGTGGTTTGGTGTCACCAGTCAATTGTGGTGCTTGTGAAATTTGTGCAGGTGTTTACATAATGGAAGACAGGAGTGTTTTAATGGAACGGTATGAAATTGGGAGACTCTTAGGGCAAGGGACCTTTGCAAAGGTATATTATGCCCGTAATCTTGCTACTGGTCAGACCGTTGCCATAAAAATGATCGATAAGGACAAGATTGTGAAGACTGGTCTCACGGACCAGATAAAGAGGGAGATATCGATAATGAGGATGGTAAGGCATCCGAACGTTCTGCAGCTTTTCGAGGTAATGGCTACCAAGAACAAGATTTACTTTGTTCTGGAGTATGCCAAAGGTGGTGAGCTTTTCAACAAGATAGCGAAGGGTAAGCTTACCGAGGAGGCTGCAAGGAAGTATTTTCAACAGTTGATCAGTGCTGTTGACTATTGCCATAGCCGAGGTGTTTATCATCGTGACTTGAAGCCTGAGAACCTGCTGCTGGATGAGAATGAAACCCTCAAGGTCTCTGATTTTGGTTTAAGTGCCTTAGCTGAGTCGAAGAGACAAGATGGTCTACTCCACACTGCATGTGGTACTCCGGCTTATGTTGCTCCTGAAGTGCTCAGCAGGAAAGGCTACAGTGGTGCAAAGGCAGATGTGTGGTCTTGCGGAGTAATTTTGTTTGTGCTTGTGGCCAATTATCTTCCTTTCCATGATAAAAATCTCATAGAGATGTATAAGAAAATTTCAAAAGCCGAGTACAGATGTCCTCGTTATTTTTCTGTGGCGTTGAAGGAGCTCCTTCATGGAATCCTTGATCCAGATCCCAATATCAGGATGTCCACCTCAAGGATAAAGAAAAGTCCTTGGTACAGGAAGCCCATTGGGATGGCAGCACTGAAAAATGTAACTTCTGACAAGACCTTTGGCTTGACGGGTGATGTTGATTCCGAGAAAAATCAAGCATCATTGAGCCTGACAAACTTGAATGCATTCGACATCATTTCCCTCTCTACAGGACTTGATCTATCCGCCTTATTTGATGAGAAACATGGCCAAAGGGAGGCACGATTTACTTCCAAGGAGTCAGCAGCAGCTGTCTTTGCGACGCTGAATGAACTGGCCAGACGTTTGAAGATTAAATTTACAAAGAAAGACAATGGTGTGTTGAATTTGGCCACAACCAAGGAAGGAAGAAAGGGCATGCTTGAGCTTGATGCTGAGATATTTGAGATTGCTCCTTCTTTCCTACTAGTCGAGTTAAAGAAGACCAATGGTGACACATTGGAGTACCAGAAGATGATGAAAGATGACATTAGGCCATCACTTAAGAATATTGTTTGGGCATGGCAAGGTGATCAGCAACAGACACGTATACTTAGACAAGCAGAACAGCAGCAGCAGTCGCCACTTCCACCACTGTCACCATTTCCACCACAGCAGTCGTAGGAGCTGCAAATGCCTTTCGAAAGGCAAAAGCAGAGTTTGCTGAGTCTTGGGCTCTTGGCTCTTGGCTCTTGGCTCTTGGCCGATTGATTGTCCTTTTTAGACTAGCAATCTACTGTAAAACTCATAAAGGTCCACATTGTTAGTGGCAATGCTGCCTTTCTGGCTCCCATTTTTATTCGTTTATCATTTTTCGTTGAAAATGAAAAGCCTGTATGCACAAAGGTGCTATATCTGGCATTTTCAATATGATCACTGCCAAAAGAATTCAATTAACCAGGGCAATAATACAATTGATGCTTTTCGAATTTTAGAAGATCACAATTGATGCAATAATACAACTGGGAAGTCAGTCATTACTGAGTCCGTGGTAACTGTTCTGAGGATTGCAGTTACCTTAGTGAAAGCAGCGGAACCGCATAAGATCAGGGATTCAGGGTTGATATCACCCCACTGCGGCACCGACCTTTAATTGAGAACGGAATTCAAGAGTTTTCACCCTACTTTGGCTTTCAGGACATTTCACATTCTACAGTGCAATGTAGTAACATTTTTCCAACCAAATAGACATTCACATTTTACAGTGCAATGTAGTATCACGTTTCCAACCCAACATTGAATCAGAACAAATTCCATCTGGCATCGGTATAGAGAAGCCTACACTGCCAGCAACTCAGCAAGTGCGAATTTTACTCGTCAGAATGAACTGCGATTGCAAATTAACTCGAACACAACCAGACATTACTAGGTACTAAATATCACTAGGTCAGGTAAGAAATACATTACATGAACTAACCAAGGGGACAAATGATTGTCTCGATCCTTTGTTGACAAACATTAAGAAATAAATACTTTAACAAATAAGTTGGTTACAGACAGAGAGCCAGCATGACACAGCATGTCCAGGAGATCCACGGGCAAACGTCCTGGTAGACTGGTAGTTATATGATTCGAACAACACCATCTCGTATCATTATCCTGTTTTTGTCTTGCATCCTCTGAGAGCACAAGGAAATAAAATTTTAATGCAATCGACATGCTTAGTTATATGTTACAAACCTGAAATAAAACCAGCTTGTTTTTCCATACCTCCAAAATAAACTCTACTTGGCTTCTGGTGTAAGGTGCAGTTGACTCCCTATTAACCGCCTGCTCAATTTCATCAATTGACATTTGATCTATATGGTTTGCCAACACATGCTGACCCAGAATTGCTTCGAAAGCTTTAATTCTGCAGGTTATGCAAAAACAAGGGCAGCAAAGGATCAGGCATAAACAAAACAAAACAAAGCTGAATGTCCAGATTTACAGGTTATGTAGTGACCTCTCTGCAGAAACATTCTGATCATTTGAAGTGTTTCCTACATCCACATCCATTGGATCGTTTCCAGAGCTGTGAAGAGTAGAGATATTTTTAGATACAAGAATGGGGAGTAGCCGAGTAGGTAAAAACTAAGAGGAACAAAAGGCTGGGATGGGAAACATACTGCAAATAAGCTACTTAGTTCTTAAAAAAGTTCAGACAAGTGGGTATATGGACGAAGTTACAAAATATTAAAATCACCTTCCATGCCCATCCTCAGTGCCACCAGTTGCACCTGCATCATGATCAGCTTGCTGTTTCATCTCCATTTCTCTCTGTTCACGCTCTTCCATCTCAGTCAATTCCTTGTGGTATATTGCAAAATTTAGAACTTGCAATGCAGCCTCAACATCGGATTTCAGAACCTGCAACACAAGACATTGCCATGATGTGATCTTCTCAAGGACAAATGGCTCATTTAACCTTCCAAAAATTAAACTGTTTGTAAAATGGATAAATTGCTTCATTTCTTGGTGAAGTTTCAGGAAAATCATGAGCAAACAAATAGGAACTGTGATTCATCCAGAGAGTTCTTGATGTGGGTAGGTTGCGAGTGGAATTAACAAAATACCTCATGTCTCAGTTTCATCTTGGCATGAGCTGTGGATAGACGGATTATGGTTTCCAGTGTCCTTGCTGTAATTGGAAGTGTACCTCCACCGGACTGTAAAACACAAAGGTGAACAAATGAGAGCTACAAACATATACCATTAACAAGACAGCAGACAGCCATGCTTGAATCAAACCTTTGCATTAGCACTACCATCCCTGAGCTCAGCATATGAAGTTGCAATATGATCAGATGCCTGCAGCAGAAGAATTTCAATGCTATATCTGAAGGGAGACCTTTGTATTTTGTAAGAGATTCTCTTCATCTCTTGAAGAATTGAGAATACAATAAAAAAAATATTGAAATACAGGAAGTGTATTGAAGAGGAAGGAAAAAGAAAGCAGCCCACACAAGGTCACATTGCAATGAAAAATAAAGGCCTGCTTGGCAGAGTTCCAGCTCCAAGAAATTTTTGGAGCTGTGGTCATCACTTGGTCCAGAAATTCATGGATTTAGAACTGTTGGCAGATTGAGGGAATTTGATATCATACAAACTCTAAATTCTGCATGGATCAGACCTGTAGCTCTTCCATAAACACTCAAGACACTTTTCTCACCCCCAAAGGTGAGGCACACACATATGCAGTGTCACTGTATGTGCAGATGTGCAGTGAGATCCATGTCGTACAGAGTGTTATCTCATGTTGAGCTCGAATTTCAGTGCACATCCAAGCCCTCACCTTGGTGTGAGGAAAACATGGTATATTAATGCACAATAGAAGAAAATGTTACCTCGTCAGTGAGCTTTGGTTGAATAAGGTTCTTCGCATAATGAATATATTTCTTCACAAATTTGACAGTTAGCCTATCCTGCTTAGCTTTCTTTCCTCTTCTTCTATCCTGACCATGGAGCATCCTATCATACTTAACAAAAATAGCATCACCATCATCTTCTTCAGCACATCCATCTTTATCAAGAGACCTTGCTCCTACAGTTTGAGGTTTGTCTTTTATTAAGCAAATGAAAAGAATTGAAGAACTGAACAAATCTATTTGACTGTAAAATAGCAAAGCTACCTCCATCATCAGTGCAATATCTATGCATTCGAGCAACGTGTTCCGAAATTTGCCGGTCAATCTCAGGATCCATTTGATCAAGAACAATAAAAAGTAAATCAAAACGGGAAAGCAGTGAATCGGGAAGCCCAATATTCTTTGTTGGCGTCAATGATCGATCATACTGTCATAAGGCCAGAAAGTATTGTCAGAAACAGCAAACAATCAAATGGACACGCTTATGGAGCTAGGGAAAGAAATGATAAGAGCTTACAGTTCCATATATTGGATTTGCTGCAGCAATTACACTACATCTCGCATTTAGCGAGGCATGTATTCCTGCCTTTGCAATTGTTACAGTTTGCTGTTCCATGACTTCATGAATTGCAACTCGGTCTTGATCATTCATTTTATCAAACTCATCAATGCAGACAACACCACGATCAGCAAGAACCATGGCACCAGCTTCAAGCCTTCTTTCCCCTGAACAGAAATTTGTCATGTGGCTTTACAGGAAAATGAATACCAATGCACTAAGTAGAGTTGTGTAATCTACCAGTCTCTTGATCAGAAGTCACAGCAGCAGTCAAACCAACACCAGATGAACCCCTGCCAGTTGTTGAGATAGCCAAAGGGGCAATGTTCATGACAGCTCTTAGGAGCTGGGACTTGGCAACTGAAGGATCTCCCACCATCATCATGTTTATATCTCTGTATGCCAAAATATAGAAATAAATAAATAAATAAAGCACAATCAATGAAATCATGTGTCAGTAATGATCTGAAACATCACTTACCCTCTCAAGTGAGTTCCATTTTTTAGATTCTTCTCAACGCCACCAAGCATCAATAGTATTACTGCCTTCTTTATCCATAGATGACCATATATGGATGGAGCAAGTGAGTTTCCCAGCACGTCTAAGGTTTCATTTCTCCTTGATATTTCTTTCATCCGCTTCAGATCTTCCCGAGTATAGACAGGCGCATTTGCCTCTTTGTTAAGAAGCGACACATTATTTGCGATAAGGACAGTTCTACAGACATAGTAATACAAAACCACATCATACTTCAGAAATAGGTAAATTGAAGCCAGCTTTGGTGAGGGTCATAGTCATAGCTGAACTAACCTGAACACACCACTAACACTTCCCTTGCTTTTCCCTGGTAGAGCCTTGTATACACCGACAATTGAGACACGGTCGCCAGGTTTGCAACAATCTACAAGATCATCTTCTACAATAACATCGACAGTTCTTGGGAGCTGTCCAGGTGCAGAATTTTCAGGCACTTCTTGCATGGACAATGTCTGGTGATCCTTGTATTCACACATTCCATACTCGGTGACCAACAAGTTACCATTCTCATCCTAGCCATTCCAGATTGAGCAGCATTACAACTACAGTACCAAAGGGGTTGGTTGAATGAAATTGCAGAGAGCAAATAGGACTATAGGAGCATACCCTTGTTGGATAAACAGAGCCAGTAGGCAAGCCTACAAATGAAGTGATGTCCCTGTATTCACGCGAGAGGAAAGCCCCAGTCACAGGGCAGAAGTGAACACTCTTAACAACTTTTGGCCTTACCAACGAGCCTGTTTTTTCAGGAGGAAAGTAAGATTAGCACTCAAAGGTGTATAGGTACTTCACTAGGAATCTGGTGTCTATCTATGCTTAAGTATTAGTAAATTGCTGGGCACGGAGTAATAATTTGATAGACAAAGTAGTTAGCATCAAATTAGCATGCTATATGCACAGCATTAGTGATGAATTAACAGAAGTCTTTTCTAAAGTTTCATTATAAATTCGAGTAGCTCAGTCATTCTGACATTGTCATTCATGTTCAGTTTTTACTGACACAGCTAACAAGGACAATTTTACCCATTCTGTTTTGCAGTTTCCCTTTACCACAAAGGTACCAATTGAACTACCACAAAACTTCTATCCACCAGCAAGAAGAATCATAGAGTTTAATTGGAACTTGTTCAAAAGACCCTGACAACACAATCTAGTACCATGTAAACAAAGTGCATTCAAC